ATCCACCTACCTCCATCCACCTACACCCATCCACCGACCCCCACCCACCAACCAGACACTCCCACCATACCCACCCTACCCCCACGGGTTTATCTTAACTGAGATGGCAGACAAAAGATTTCATCAGACGACAGCAGCTTTATGCTGGCTTATTTCCCCGCTCTTCTGTCTGCGCTTCTTCACATTATCATCGCTTCTTTCATTTTTTTCTACACATCCTCCCCACCCTCCTCCTCAACCACCCTCGACCACCCCACCCTCCCCTCCCCCACCCCCTCCTCCACCAGCCTCCTGCCCAATTCTCCCCCTCCCCCTCTTATACCTACAATATTTTATCGCTGCAGCTAATCCCAAACTTTAAACAAAAAACAACTTACTAACTCAATCATCGTGTTCAACTGTTTTAAAATGTCTTTCAAGCACCGTATCAAAGGTTGCCCGCGGATGGTGTATTAAGCTGTGAATAATTCATTCGTGAAATGTTGATGTGAGCTGAGCAAGCTGGTCAGCATTTCAAATGTTGCAGCGTTTTCTACCAGACAGTCTCCAGAGTAAACATCCGAGCTGTCTGACACGTACAGTCTTGGCAGACACAGACTGTGTGAGTACATTCAAGAAGATCTACCACGCCCTTGTTGTTAGGTCACTAACAACGCCCTGTTAGACCACTGCCCCACTAGCCACGCCCTGTTAGACCACTGCCCCACTAACCACGCCATGTTAGACCACTGCCGCACTAGCCACGCCCTTGTTGTTAGGGCACTAACAACGCCCTGAATATCAGGGCATTAAAAAGGTCAGCATGACCTGTACAGACAAATTTAAACCACCAGATTTGATGAGGTGGCAGCTATAAAAAATCTGGCAACGTCGCGGCTGGAGTGAGCAGATATTTGCTAGAGCCAGACAAACACGCGAAGATCAAAGTCTAAAAGATAATCCTCCAATGTTTTCTGGTCTAAAAAATAATTCTTCAATGTTTTCTGGTCTAAAAAATAATTCTTCAATGTTTTCTGGTCTAAAAAATAATTCTTCAATGTTTTCTGGTCTAAAAAATAATTCTTCAATGTTTTCCATGCTTTACTAGCACGTTGTGTCCGGATCGTGAAGCGTTGTTTTATTTTAAAATCTCCTCTCAGTTTATCAATGGACGAGAGGGCACCGCAACCACTGGGATAAAAATAGCCCGCCGTGTTGTTCGTAGACACAACCTGAGCTTGTCCAGAAGTCAAGTCAACCCGTACTGTGTGTGTTGTCTTGACGTCTAGCCATACAATAGCTCACGTCTACTGGCCGGGCTTCATTAAAAAATTTAAAATAAATCATAAAACAAACTCAGATGGGTTCGATAATGAGCAGCATCCAAGTGATGGTGGGGTGGGGGGGGGGGGGGGAGGGGACGGGAACAAATACTAAATATCAAGATAAGGGTGGTGGTGGTGTGTGTGTGTGGGGGGGGGGGGGGGGTGACCGTAAAACACGTGCCAAAAATGCACTCATTACTAATTCAGTAGAAACAGAATGTAAGACTTGCTAATGTTAACAGATCATTGACTACACTAAGCTAGGTTGAGATACTATTTTTTAAACTATGTAGGTCATCTTACATTTGATTTTAAACTGCTGCTATATCCATTACTTCCGTCAGTTTCTGCCTGTTTTTGCTTTGGCAAACTCGTTGTAGAGTTATCGCTCTTGATTCCACTTTGGAGCAATTCTTCCGTCCCATTAACTCCCCTGTGTTCAGCAGCCATTAGACAACTCTGCTCAAGACACTGGGCAGGGAGGGAGCCGGCATTAAACGTTTGGAGTAGCACTGTAAGATAATACGGATATAAGTACCCGGATGTCAAGATCTCGGCCAATCAACTGACGGGCTTTTTGCTATAACAATTTTGTTTTCATTCTTTGAAGAGCTCTCTGGCCAGTTTGGATCGAAGCCTACGGCATAATCAAGCAGGCTATACAAATGATTATTCCGGAACAATATTTTAGCTTGTACGGTAAACCTATCTATTATTTTTTTTTTTACAAAAGCCAGTTGAAGATTGCAAATTTTAATGACTGAAATTATTAAAATAACAGGGACACACTAATGGTTGGCCCAAAGGAAGGATAGAGGGGCAATCGGTAGTGATGTGTTCAACTGGTTGTTCAACAGTTGTGTCGGGTTGACTCGGTAGTGATGTGTTCAACTCGTTGTTCAACAGTTGGGTTGACTCGGTAGTGATGTGTTCAACAGTTGGGTTGACTCGGTAGTGATGTGTTCAACTGGTTGTTCAACAGTTGGGTTGACTCGGTAGTGATGTGTTCAACAGTTGGGTTGACTCGGTAGTGATGTGTTCAACAGTTGGGTTGACTCGGTAGTGATGTGTTCAACTGGTTGTTCAACAGTTGGGTTGACTCGGTAGTGATGTGTTCAACTGGTTGTTCAACAGTTGGGTTGACTCGGTAGTGATGTGTTCAACTGGTTGTTCAACAGTTGGGTTGACTCGGTAGTGATGTGTTCAACAGTTGGGTTGACTCGGTAGTGATGTGTTCAACTCGTTGTTCAAAAGTTGTGTCGGGTTGACTCGGTAGTGATCTGTTCAACTCGTTCAACAGACAGAGGTTTTCTGAACCTGAGTTAACTAAAGCCGTACTTAACTTATAATGGATTGCTCCACCTAAAAAGGGAATATTCAATGCTATAAATAGACGAATTGCTGACATTTTATTCAAGACATCTTCAAGCTACTTGTCCTCTGACTTTCATTTAAATCCTGTACTTATTTCTTATTTAATTGTGTATTTATTGACTAACAATGATCGATTGATGTGTTGTGCTTTCAAAGATCGATTCCTATCATGTTTGGATATGATAGAGATAAAGTTTCCATTTTTGTCGTATTCGGACAAACGCCCATTCAGGAAAACGGCCTTTGGGCCTTTCGCTTTCGCTATTGCTCCCATTTACTATTCTAATCTGTTTGCTAACAAAAACACACGCACACACACATACACAAAAGCGTGTACACACATACACATAGAAACTTACTGACAAACACCCACAGACATGTACACACACACACACATACAAACAAGTAGACACACACTGTCAGATTAGGCTAGAAGATTGTGTTTACACCTTCAACCTGAGATTAAAGAACAGATTAAGATCAGAGCTTGATTTAATGAATCAACCAGACAGCATTAGCGGACTGATCAGTTTACATTTTATTTCAGGGAAAATTCCAATCAAATGCTTCTAATTAATTATACATATCGTGTATTAAAACATAAACTAACAGTATGATTTTATCTGTACAAAATGTTTCCATCAATTTTTGTGTGAATGTTAAAGTGCGATAGTTTGTTGCTAGTTCTTGGATGTCCGTCCAACAAATGATGTAGCTACAACACTAACCATTAACTGCTTTAGCTCAGCAACCAAGATTCCAACACACGAATGTAACCTTCTTACTGTAAAAATTACTTGGAAGAACTTTATCTATAATTATCTAAATCATCAACGCCCACCACTGTCTTAAGTATCTGATAGTGAATTCTCTGCATGCAAAAATCAATAGATCCTCAATTTACAAAACAGATGAGCAGTTTACGATTGGGATAGCTTCTAGCGGGCACGTTCTATTAATAACTCATTGCTTAAGCAGGGGATGTAACTCTATTTAAGTAAATAGTGTAATCATTTCCCTTTGAAGCCAGAATTAGTGACGTATTTTTTCCCAGGGTAAAATTGTTGGACCAATATGAAATCAATCTGACGGTCGATCAGGATATTATGATACGGATGGGTGGGGGTGGGGGTTACTTGCTGTTCAAATTGTTTAATCTCTTAGACTGATGCTTCTTTCAAATCTTTCTTGACAGAGTTCGCCGCTAGTAAGGATTAGCTGTGAGACAACACTCGTCCATATGCCCTAGCTCTCCTAGCGGTGGCTGTCTCAGCCCGTGGGTGGTGTGTTCATATTTACCATCGAGAGGTGTGGGTGGGGATTTGTTCACATTTACTATCGAGAGGCGTGGGTGGGGGTTTGTTCACATTTGATATCTAAACATTCTTTCGAATCGAATACATTGAACGCGTTTTTATTTAAAGGCAAATTTGAATTTTGACAAAGATCATTGCATTTAATCATAAGCGAATTTTTTGCTTGGCTTTTCAATCCAGAGTTGTAATAAATTAATTCTTAGCTAGCTCTTCCGTTTACTGTTTTTATGAATGGAATGTGAAATAAGTTTTGCGTGTGGAGACACTCGATCAAAGAGGTCAAGTAAACTTCATCAAAGGGTGCAAGCAGGTCAGGCAGTGACCGGATGTGGCTCACGACATGTGGCTCTCTTACAGCCACATGTCAGTTGTTTTTTTTTAAACTGTAACTGTAAGAACTTTCAAGTTTTACTTCACTGAAGTGTAAAGTCAATTCTAATTAAATCATTATCCACCCAGTTGTACACAGCAATCATGTCATTAGGGACACGACACGTTGATAAGCTTGCATTTTTACCACCTGATTCGTGTAGTTTTTTTTATCCATCCTCGGGGCGGGATTCGAAAAAAATGAACAAAGAAAGTCGAAGAGAATTAATTGTGTGGGTTCGATGTGGCGGTGTGGGTGTTTTGTAAACTACTTACTTCTTGTACCACTCAACACAATCACGATTCTGTGATGTGAATGTAAAATTAATTAATTAAAAAACAATTTTTGGCTATGAATATCTGATTTTGGTAAAGAAATTAATTAATTTAATGGCTGGAAAAAAATTTTGTTTCAAAAATAATATCAGGAAATGATTAGGCCTAGCTAGTGACATTTTACTAAAGCGAATTAGTCCCTACGAAAAACAACGTTATACCCAGACATCAGTTTTTTTGTGTTATTGTTTTTTTTTTTTTTACCGAGAACACAACACAGTACAACATACAGTTACCATGACAACATCCACATTTAGACGCGACACACTTGGACGTGTAATAACTTAAGAACGTGTGTGTGTGGTTTCTGTTTAATTTATTTCACTGCCTAACCAACAAGCGGCGCTCTGATTCTGGCCTTGAGTCCTTAATTTGGAATTGTGTGTCCTTCACTGACTGTTGTTCGTGTCTAAAAGTTAAACCTCAAAGATTTTTGGGCGTCGAACAATGGAAACAAAACAGTAGGATCAAACTAAAACAGAACGTGACACACACGTGACACACACGCCGGATCACGTGGCTGACGACCCACGTGATATGACGTCTGTGCTGGTTGTGTTGGTCAAGGTTTGCGATGAACTCGGCGCGGCGTCGTCAGGTTTTTGGCTCTCTGGAAAGTCGCTGCGGCCTTGATCCTCTGTCGGCTTCTGGCCGTCGGCCTCGGCCTGGATGAAATTCACCAGCCGCGTGAGGTCATCGGTTGCCCCGGCCCCGCCCTGAAGGATGTGCTCGTTAACCAGCAGGCCGTCATCTCGTTTCCCCACAAAACTATGCCTGAATCCCGGGCTGCGTTTCTCCAGTTCGCTCTCTTCGTCTGCACGTTTTCCGACAAACGAATGTCTGAATCCGGCAGATTTTTTATCAAATTCGTTTTCGTCATCTTCTCGTTTTCCGACAAACGAATGTCTAAATCCGGCAGATTTTTTATCAAATTCGTTTTCGTCATCTTCGCGTTTTCCAACAAAGGAATGTCGGAATCCTGCAGATTTTTTGTCGAATTCGTTTTCGTCATCTTCGCGTTTTCCGACAAAGGAATGTCTAAATCCTGCAGATTTTTTGTCGAATTCGTTTTCGTCATCTTCGCGTTTTCCGACAAAGGAATGTCGGAATCCTGCAGATTTTTTGTCAAATTCATTTTCGTCATCTTCGCGTTTTCCGACAAACGAATGTCTAAATCCTGCAGATTTTTTGTCGAATTCGTTTTCGTCATCTTCGCGTTTTCCGACAAAGGAATGTCGGAATCCTGCAGATTTTTTGTCAAATTCATTTTCGTCATCTTCGCGTTTTCCGACAAAGGAATGTCTAAATCCTGCAGATTTTTTGTCAAATTCGTTTTCGTCATCTTCGCGTTTTCCGACAAACGAATGTCTAAATCCGGCCGATTTTTTGTCGAGTTCATTTTCGTCGTCTTCACGTTTTCCGACAAACGAATGTCGGAATGCAGCAGATTTTTTGTCGAATTCCTTTTCGTCATCTTCGCGTTTTCCAACAAATGAGTGTCTGAATCCGGCAGATTTTTTGTCAAATTCGTTTTCTTCATCCTCGCGTTTTCCGACAAAAGAATGCGAGAATCCTGGCCCTCTTTTGTCCTCGCTGTTCACTTCTCGTTTACCGATGAAAGAGTGAGAAAATTTTGGCGCCCTTTTGTTTAAATCGCCGTTTGGTTCAAGGAATTCAATTTCGTTTTCACTGCTCAAAAGCTCATTTTCGTCTCGTTTTCCCACAAAACTGTGAGAAAATCCCGGAACACGTTTTCCGACAAAGCTATGGCGAAATCCGGGAACACGTTTTCCGACAAAGCTATGGGAAAATCCGGGAACACGTTTTCCGACGAAGCTATGGGAAAATCCAGGAACACGTTTTCCGACAAAGCTATGGGAAAATCCGGGAACACGTTTTCCGACAAACGCATGCCTGAAACTAGGGCTAGCTCTCTCTTCCAGATCTATTTCCTGGTCTGAGGACGCTGACCGCTTGGACCGACCGACTGTGGACCTTTTGCCCACAAAGTGGTGCATGAAGCTGGGCGAGGCCCGGCTGTTGACGGCGTAGGGCCCGCGGGCACGGGCCATGTCCCTCTTGCCGACAAAACTGTGGCTGAAGACTCGGCCGCCTCTCTCGGCCATCTCGAGGTCGTCGTCGTCCCCCGGCGCCCGCTTGCCGACAAAACTGTGAGAGAAAGCAGGGCCCCTTCTGTTGGGTCCGCCCCTCTTCCCCACAAAACTGTGTTTGAAGTGCCGTCCATTGCGAGCCTCAACTTCAATACCGTCTTCCTCACTTTCATCACTATCGTCCTCGTCATCGTCGAACCTTTTCCCAACAAAGCTGTGTCTGAAGCCGGGTCCGGCTCGCTCCTCGATGTCAATGTCCGAGTCTCCGTCCTCCCTCCCCTCCAGCCCGTCCAGCAGCTCCCTCTCCAGCGCCTCCTTCAGGAGCAGGTCTACCTGTGAGATCTCGTCTCGCTTCCCCACGAAGCTGTGCGAGAACCGCGCTGCCCTCGTGTCGATGTCCGTCAGGTCGCTGGTGTCGACGACGTCGTAGTTGTCCCCCGGGGGGACGAGAAAGTCACTGGACCGCTTCCCCACGAAGTTGTGGCCGAACTTGGGGCTGACCCGCCGTTGGAACCGCAGCCGGACACGCTGCTTGCCGAAGCCGTCATCAAACCTGACCGGGCCGGACCGCTTCGACCTTGACACTCCGTCGCTGCTGACGTCATCCGCTGACTTGACGGCCTTGACCTCATCACCTGTAACACAAGACAACAACGTTGAAGGCCGTTAGGTTAGGGTTTGGGTTTGGGTTTGGGTTTGGGTTAGGGTTAGGTTAGGGCTAGGGTTTGGGTTAGGGTTTGGGTTAGGGTTAGGGTTTGGGTATGGGTTAGTGTTTGAGTTTGGGTTTGGGAGAGTAAAAAAAAACCGCAGTTTGTCTCGTCACAACAAAATATATTTAAAAAATACCACATGACTTTTTGTTCTTTCTAAAATATTGTAAAAGTTGCTTGTTAACGCATACATGCCAATATTTGTTGTTAGCCGTTCCGGCTAGTCGATGCCGTGGCTGTACACGCTACATTGTTTCATCATTTTTTTCCCGAATACCGTATTTAGCTTTCCATTTATTCTTCTATCATATGCTCGTAACAACAGTGTATGTCCACTGCCATTTTTGGCAATCAATGATATATGTATTGCCGTTACTACAACATTAGAACTGCATTCAAATGAAATATAACCCATGTATTTTAAAAATAACAACAAAAGTTGTTTCTGAATTTAGATTATTTATAAATAGAACGTGCTGTTTTTTCATTCGGTTGTATCGTGATATCAGCCAAACGTCGCACATTTTCTTTAGAGCTCCAGATTTCTGAGAACAGGCGACTTCCTCCCTCGTTTCAATCGATTGGAGCGTGCGATCGCTCGATTTAACTTTTGCTGCACATTTTTTTATGTACAGGTAATCGGGATTTCCCAATTTTTCTGATATCCGTGTTGATCAAAGAATCGAAACTGATCGCAAGCAAACAGGAAGCGATCCCCCCCCCCCCCCCCCCCAACGGCTAGAGTTTCACCACAAGGATTAGAAGAGTTTTGGGACACGGGGTTTTCTATTGATGAGACCTAAATCGGTTTGAATCGACTGACATTCGGAGGCTAAAGTTTTGGTCAAGAACTGACGGACAATCTTGCTACCGAACTCTGACCGTACTTGACAAGCTCTAGCCTTAACTAATGATTAATGGCGCGTGCTGTGACGCCGGTGCGGCAAATCAATCTTCATAATCACGTGACAACGGGTGACCATTTATCGGCGACACCCCGAAACAATTAGGTGATGAATAATTAGTGGCGTCACGGCCATACACCATTAAACAGGCACGTGACCTAGGATCCCAGCAGACGCCGCCACGTTTGGCGGGTCGCCTGCTGCCGTTGGCGCGAATAACGACCGCCTTGATTCATACAGCGTTGCGGTGTTTGCCCCCCCCTCCACCCCCCCCCCTCCCCCTGAAACCCAAATATTTCATAAACTTTTTGTTTTGATCAGTGGCGTAGCGAGGTCGGGTGTCACCCGGTGCGGCACTTAATGCGGCATTTCGATTTGCACCCTCCCCCCCCCCCCTCAAATTTTCCTCTATATATTTTGCTATATTTTGCCTTGGTGTCACCCCCCTAAATGGTGTCACCCGGTGCTGTCCGCACCCCCCCACCCCTCGCTACGCCTCTGGTTTTGATATTGGAGCTTTGAGACGGGACAGCGTGGTAGTATGGTAGACCACTCGATTACTAATGGGAAAGTCTGGTGATCAGATCCTCGAGAATGTCGTGTTTTATTCAGGTGATTTGTTGAATATATTGTGTAACACAAGAATGTGATATAAGCCGCCATTAAAAAAAAAACATCAATCAAGTCTGCAATTGTAGCATCATCGTCGCCATCAAAACATTCTTGCACTGAGTTGATAAAAACGTGAAAAAAGCAATTTTGTCTAGCCAATGTAGAGTTCACTGTACTTGTGTCTCAAGAAGCGAACGATTCTTCACGAAGGACATGTATTGCAGACATGCGGGAATATCATTAAAAATAATGACGTCTAGATATACAATGAATTTGTAGTGAAACAGCGATAGATACATTTTCTACGCATTTTATCGGTAATTATTGTTTTTACTTGACAGTTAAACATTTCAATAGGTTCAACGAATATAGGTCTGCATGAAAATAGATAAAAACTGGTCTTATTGTTTTCTTTCGAAATTGACATTCTGTTGTAATGGTCAGTCTGTTGTAATCGTCAGTCTGTTGTAATCGTCAGTCTGTTGTAATGGTCAGTCTATTGTAATCGATACCGTTCTGAAATATGTAAATGGAGTTTTGTAAGTTTAAAAAAATGCTTTAGTGCCATATGTTTTGTTTGCCTCGTGGAGGACATTGATTGGGGGGGGGGGGGCAGGGATTGGGGGGGGGACAATGGTTGGAAGGCAGGGATTGGGAGGACAATGATTGGGGGGGGGGGCAGGGATTGGGAGGGAAGGGATTAGGAGGGCAGGCATTGGTAGAACGACAATTACTTTGTTTTTAAGATTCCGCCGTCATCTCAGGAATAAACCTGAGTTTCCTACCCCCCCCCCCCCCCCATTTCACTTTCACCGGATCATTTAGCTAGCACCTCTCTCTAAATAATTTTTCACGGTCACCAGGTTCAATTAATCGACGTGTACTACAGGACATAGACTCAGGAGTAAGGCGGGCTGTACAGCATATTGATAGCTAACTCACTCAATGCTAGTGCTAGTTATACTCACTCACTGCACGAGCTAGTTCTACTCATTAAATGCACGTCTTAGTTTCTACTCACTCAATGCACGAGCTAGTTCTACTCACTCAATGCACTTCTTAGTTTCTACTCACTCAATGCTAGTGCTAGTTCTACTCACTCAATTCACGAGCTAGTTCTACTCACTCAATGCTCGTGCTAGTTACACTCACTCAATGCTAGTGCTAGTTCTACTCACTCAATTCACGAGCTAGTTCTACTCACTCAATGCTCGTGCTAGTTACACTCACTCAATGCACGTGCTAGTTCTACTCACTCAATGCACGTGCTAGTTCTACTCACCAATCACACAGCAGACGAGCGATATGACAACCAAGATGGCGGAGTATACGTGCAGCCATTTCCCAGACATGTTGTGACGTAGATGCTCAAACTCTCCACTCCAGGTCGGTATCCTGCAAGTCTGGCGCCACCTGTAAACAGAGCAATAGAAACACATTACAGGTGAGTCGACAGGTGGGGATGTTGACGTCACGACACAGATTGGGCGCCTGGTCAGGGCAGAATGTTGACCTATGGAACCAGGAAGTCTGGTGCGACTTATGGGCGTGTTGATACGGTGGGCGATGACGTCATTAAGGGCGTGTTGATACGGTGGGCGATGACGTCATTATGGGCGGGTTGATACGGTGGGCGATGACGTCATTATGGGCGGGTTGATACAGTGGCTGATGACGTCATTATGGGCGGGTTGATACGGTGGCCGATGACGTCATGGAAATGGTGTCGCATGACTTCATAGGGAATACGGACAGGACGAATGATTGACAGGATGGAATCTATAAGACGGTGTTCTTGTTGGATGGTGAGCACTCAGTTGTATGATACATATTTGTATCCGTATCACCTAAATCTTTACCTTGCACCTGACCAGATATCGAAGTACTGCGCTTACTCGACTACACATAAAAGTATCGATACGTTTAATATCGAGCTACCGAAGGCTGGCTGTGCCCATTCAAAAAGAGAACACTCAAGTATTGTAGTTGTACTCGGCTCACACAGAAGTCTGATTTCTCTATTTATAGAAACAACAGAAAAAACCAAAACCACAACAACTACAACCATCACCAGCAAAAACAACATGCTAACAATAAACCGGATGTCGTGTGCACAGTCGTCTCTTTTTGACGGATGTCGTGTGCACAGTCGTCTCTTTTTGACGGATGTCGTGTGCACAGTCGTCTCTTTTTGACGGATGTCGTGTGCACAGTCGTCTCTTTTTGACGGATGTCGTGTCCACATTCGTCTCTTTTTGACGGATGTCGTGTGCACAGTCGTCTCTTTTTGACGGATGTCGTGTGCACAGTGGTCTCTTTTTGACGGATGTCGTGTGCACAGTCGTCTCTTTTTGACGGATGTCGTGTGCACAGTCGTCTCTTTTTGACGGATGTCGTGTGCACAGTCGTCTCTTTTTGACGGATGTCGTGTGCACAGTGGTCTCTTTTTGACGGATGTCGTGTCCACATTCGTCTCTTTTTGATGGATGTCGTGTGCACATTCGTCTCTTTTTGACGGATGTCGTGTGCAAATTCGTCTCTTTTTGACGGATGTCGTGTGCACAGTCGTCTCTTTTTGACGGATGTCGTGTGCACAGCCGTCTCTTTTTGACGGATGTCGTGTGCACAGTCGTCTCTTTTTGACGGATGTCGTGTGCACATTCGTCTCTTTTTGACGGATGTCGTGTGCACAGTCGTCTCTTTTTGACGGATGTCGTGTGCACAGTCGTCTCTTTTTGACGGATGTCGTGTCCACATTCGTCTCTTTTTGATGGATGTCGTGTGCAAATTCGTCTCTTTTTGACGGATGTCGTGTGCACAGTCGTCTCTTTTTGACGGATGTCGTGTGCACAGTCGTCTCTTTTTGACGGATGTCGTGTGCACAGTCGTCTCTTTTTGACGGATGTCGTGTGCACAGTCGTCTCTTTTTGACGGATGTCGTGTGCACAGTCGTCTCTTTTTGACGGATGTCGTGTGCACAGTCGTCTCTTTTTGACGGAAAGTTACGGTACACCAGACAGCGAGAAGGGGAAATAAGGAAAAGTTGGGGGGGGGGGGGGAGTGATTACACTGAGTGGATGGTGAGACCCCCACAGTGGGTGAGGGGAGACTGAAGGTGGGTACGGGCATCTCATGAAGCACCCCCCCCCCCCACTCTGGCAGCGTTAGAAGCTGGAGTGAGCAGATATTTGCTGTAGCGAGACAAACACTCGATGATCAAAGTCCAAAGATAATCCTTCAATGTTTTTTTAAGTCTTTACTAGCACGTTGTGCCCGGGGTTGATGGTTAAGGAACGGGTTTCTACACTACCCACTACTAGTAAACTTTTTTTTTCGCTTTTGGCCGGGAAGTCGTCTGCAGTACTTGCTGCAGAGTACATTACGTCATTACTTTTGGGGCGTTTATTTCTTTTAAATATGTTGGTGATGTGGGTGGGGGAAGCAGGGGGGGGGGTGATAAACTTGGGAAAATCTGTCCCCATAGACCTACTGTTTACGGTTGTTGTTTTTTTTTTTTAGAACTTTTCTTGAACTCGACAACATAATAACTCTACTTCACCTGCCCTACATTCAGTACGAGGGTGGCTGTACTGATGTATCTGACCCCAAAGTACCCTGACGTCCCACAAAACCTCCCAGTGACCACTGTCCGCAGTCGGACATTCACGGACTAATTTAGCCATCAGTTCTGTGAGGCGTGGCCAGCGTTTAATTATTCACCTAGTCTCACGAGCTACGCGCGCGGCAATTACCCCTAACCCAATCAGCGTCGTGCCGTAACTCGCGTCAGGCGTCACGTCGTGGGTTCGACTCACATAACGTCATGACGTCAAGAAGGTCCATGGGTCCCCGGAGACTACCTTAAGATACTGATATGTGATCACGTGGTGGCTATATTTAGATGTAGAAGGTCAAGACAAAGATGGAGGAAATGTTGACAACTTCCGCGTGCAAGTGGACATAGACAACAACGTCAGAAGTTAACTGTTGTAGCAGTCTAGGTCATAGGGTCAATAGGGAAGAGGAAGTAGAGTTTATCTGTTTCTGTGAGCTCGGTATGTGAAGGGATTGTGTGTGTGGTGTGATGTGTGTCACTCGACTGTGTGGTGTGTGTCCCTGGATTGTGTGGTGTGTGTCACTCGACTGTGTGGTGTGTTGTGTTTAGTCTCCTTGACTGTGCCTGTTTTACCGACATCTGCTATCTACCTTGACATTAAAAGCCACCACATGTTAATTATTCTAACCAGGGCCATTAGCACGTGTATTGCGCGTGCTTTATGAAAGTGTGTACTTTTCAGCGAGACAAAAACAAAAGACACAACCCTTAACTTTCAGAGTAGCATGTAAACAATTGTGGGATTGTGGAGGAGGGGGGGGGGGGTGATATGTTGCAAGGCATACTTGTAAAAAAATCAACGAAGGCAAACAGGTCATCTTTCGACAATTTATCATCGCCCCCATGTAATACAGGGTGAAGGTCATGACGTGACCTGTGCTCCACGTGAGGTTACCGCCCCCAAACAAGGGCCACAACTCCCCCAACGTTGGCCGGTGTTTGTCCTACCCGGCACGACCAGCGCTGCCCCGTCTGTAATTTGTTTCATTCTTCCTAGCGCGAGATGGAGTTCAAAGGGAGAGAACTAATCTCAACGATTATCGAGTTATGGTCCCTGACAAACAGCGAGATACAGAGTTGTGTTCGGGGCATAACGGGCGACAACCCAGCGGCCCGGTCAGTGATTACATCAGAATATTTGTAGTTATCTTCCCTTTGTGACGATGTACTAGTGCAGTCGTATTAAATGCTACGTGTAGCTAATTTTAACTGGTTCATGTAGCCGATTTTACTGATGCGAGTAGCGGATTTTAACTGAAAGGTTTCAACAAAATTTTATTAAATTGTCTCGCAGCTACCCAAAAAGCTTGATTGATTTGTCCGTCCACATTGGTGAGACAATGAAACATTTTTATGGAAATTTACCCCACTTTTACCTGCCCGAGCTTTTTCAAAAGTAAAACGTTAGTTCGGCGTGTTCGAGTCGGTAAAGCTCATGGTTGCCAAACCGAAAAGTCTCGAGTTCGAACCCTCGGGCAGATGAGGCTCGTTAGATGGGGACAGCCATTCTTCTAGGAGAGACAACTCCAAAATTAAACAACTGCTGCCTTGTAGTTTGTTCTTGGTTGGACAAAGGCTATGGAAGCAAATCCAAAAAGAAAAGCAGGCTGAAATCGGAGTCAATGGCCTCAATGGCGCATAATCAGTTGACACGTAACGCTTAATTGTGTTGGAGGCGTGGTCGAGTCGGCAAAAAGCTCATTGTTGATACATTCGAACAGTCTCGAGTTCAAACCCACTGGCAGATAAATCTCGATCCCCTTCAACACTAATAATTAAGAACGAAGAAGAAGAAAAGAGTTAGTTTGACTTAGTCAACTGTTGAATTAAGAACAAAAAAAAATTCATAACAAGCTTTTATGTAATAATGCACTAAAAAGTTGAAAATAAATTATACACTACTATTTAAATTACTATAAAGAAAAGCGTGGGTCACTTTAGTATCTATTGGATACCTTTACGAATATTTAGGAAGAGACCCACGCTTTTCTCTATAGTAATTTAAATAGTAGTGTCTAATATTTAGGAAGAGACCCACGCTTTTCTTTATAGTTATTTAAATAGTAGTGTATAATTTATTTTCTACTTTTTAGTGCAGTATTACATAAAAGCTTGTTATTAAAACGTTTTTTTTTAATGAATTTTTTTCCAGTACTTTACATGTTTTATTTACAATAGTTACATGGCTAAAAACCACTGTCAAGTTTATAGCTAACGTTTCAGTAAAATATTATGTGATGGCGTAGTCTAGTGGTAAAGAACTAGACTGCTGACCCGACTAAAAACCATCGCGCGTCTATTGAACGTGATGACGCGCTTTTGACGTAGAGCCCCCCTCGCTCCACGCCCAACACGGCCGTGATGACGCGTGTGGATAGAACTGCGTACTATTCGGTCCAAATTTTAATTAATTCATAAAAAATTAATTAGGCATCCAATTAAGTCAAATTTAATGTCATAATGCATTGTCTGCATGTCTTGACCCACGTACCAATTACGAACCGTATCTGTCAGTTAAAAGTGTCCGAATTTTCGCTCCGGCGTTTCGATCTAGACAGACAGACAGACAGAGGAAGTGAGTGTAATAAAAGCTTGTAATAAAAATAATTTAATTTTGCTGTATAAAGTATTAACTGTGTCGTGTCTTTGATATACTGTCGGCGCTTACAACCATCGTGGAATTTTGGACGTTGTAGCACAATTTATCAAATCACGGACGTTTATGAACACTTTGGGTAATCGGTTACAAATAATTGTCATCAACTCGTAGCAACATTTATTTACCGGTGAATTAATA